TGGTTATTAGTAAGGAATAGACTGCTATGGGAAGTTCTTGGCTGTGAAACCAGCATGAACTTCAATAGATTCCGCAACCTTGGTCTTGGAATAGTAGGTTGAGATCATAAGGTTTTAAAGCCTTATGACCAGCTTCCAATCCGAACACAACTAGAATACTAATAAGATTGGTTAGAAGTTGACTAAGGTCTCAGATAGGAGTATTAACCCCTCGAATATAGCGTTTACAGATAAAAGAGAATGTACAGATAAAAGAAACGGATTAAAAACCAATTTCTCCAGATGGACTTCGATAAACACCTTGAGACTAGCAACAAGTCCTAGAATATTAGGTTGGATTGTAATGTGTTATGTCAAGTTCTTACTCGAAACGCAACCTGAATACTAATTAGACTGAACAGAACTTGACTAAGAACTCTGATATGGATATTAAATGATCATTGTTCAATTGCATCTTTTACCAAGAAATGGGACTATAGCGAGGAGAAGTGACAATTCTTTATGCCTTCTACTTCGATAGTAATGCTTTATGGTCATAGTTTAATCATATATTCTGGATCCTACGTAGTCGATTGAGCTATGTTCGTTCAAACCATCCGTCTGTCTTTAAGTATCTATCTATCTATCTATCTATCTATCTATCTATCTATCTATCTATCTATCTATCTATCTATCTATCTATCTACCTATCTATCTATCTATCTATCTATCTATCTATCTATCTATCTATCTATCTATCTATCTATCTATCTATCTATCTATCTATCTATCTATCTATCTATCTATCTATCTATCTATCTATCTATCTATCTATCTATCTATCTATCTATCTATCTATCTATCTATCTATCTATCTATCTTATCTATCTATCTATCTATCTATCTATCTATCTATCTATCTATCTATCTATCTATCTATCTATCTATCTATCTATCTATCTATCTATCTATCTATCTATCTATCTATCTATCTATCTATCTATCTATCTATCTATCTATCTATCTATCTATCTATCTATCTATCTATCTAATCTATCTATCTATCTATCTATCTATCTATCTATCTATCTATCTATCTATCTATCTATCTATCTATCTATCTATCTATCTATCTATCTATCTATCTATCTATCTATCTATCTATCTATCTATCTATCTATCTATCTATCTATCTATCTATCTATCTATCTATCTATCTATCTATCTATCTATCTATCTATCTATCTATCTATCTATCTATCTATCTATCTATCTATCTATCTATCTATCTATCTATCTATCTATCTATCTATCTATCTATCTATCTATCTATCTATATCTATCTATCTATCTATCTATCTATCTATCTATCTATCTATCTATCTATCTATCTATCTATCTATCTATCTATCTATCTATCTATCTATCTATCTATCTATCTATCTATCTATCTATCTATCTATCTATCTATCTATCTATCTATCTATCTATCTATCTATCTATCTATCTATCTATCTATCTATCTATCTATCTATCTATCTATCTATCTATCTATCTATCTGTCTATCTATCTATCTATCTATCTATCTATCTATCTATCTATCTATCTATCTATCTATCTATCTATCTATCTATCTATCTATCTATCTATCTATCTATCTATCTATCTATCTATCTATCTATCTATCTATCTATCTATCTATCTGTCTGTCTGTCTGTCTGTCTGTCTGTCTGTTTGTATGTCTGTCTGTTTGTCTGTCTGTCTGTCTGTCTGTCTCTTTGTTTGCCTGCCTATCCAGCTACCTATCTGTCTGTCCTCTGAAATGCATTCGGGATCTACTTCTTTAACAATTCTACCAAATATGTTTCCTGTTTAAAATCCAGAAAATCTGTCAAAATCTGCTTAAACCCTCGACAATTTACAGCAATTTTTTAATCTTTTTATATATAATATTTTCTTAATAAAAAATCTCTAATAAATTATTCACTTCTACTAAACAAAATTTCATTTCATTCAACCAACAAAAACGTATGTATGTAAGTAAGAAAAATTCTAATCTTAAAAATCAATTTATGCCAACGTTCCATTATTCATATTCATATAGTAGAGTCACCAAAAACCAACAGTAACAACGACACGATTCACAATTTATTTTCAAGTATATGAAAAAAAAAGTTCAAAAAAATAAAATAAATTTTATTCACAAAAATTTCATTCATAAACACATATAAAAAAACATACAAAAAAAAACTGAAGAATAAAAAATCACATCATAAAGAAGAAGAGAACAAACGAAAAAAAAAAAAAACAAATCTGCTAAAGAGGGTTTTCATCAATTTTAAAATGCAAGTAGAATAAAAAGCAGAAAAATTATTGGAAAAAAAAAACGTAATACTGAAAATAAGAATTTTGAAATATTTATACAAATACCAAACATACATTTCATATATAGTACAAACAAACTCGTGTCCTCCTCTCAAGTTGAAACATGTGTGTATAAGAATGCGTTTGTGCAACGCTTAGTATTTGAATACTTTTGTGATGCTGCTGCTGCTGCTATTGAATATTCAATAAACCATTTCGCGTTTGTTATGTGGAAGAAAAAAAAATTGTAGACATTCATATGGTTGAATTGTTTATATAGAAAAATTTTACAAATTTGAAAAAAATATTATGTGTCAGAAACAGAACTGGAATACAACATTGTACAAATATGAGTAATAAAATCTTCAACACAATGTATGTTTTTTTTATATATATATTCATTAGGATTTATAGATTTTTTTTTTAAAAACCCAGATCTTAAGTTTGTTTTGTTGCGTGCAGTAATAGATGCGACACATGGTAGATTTAATGAGTAGAATGAAAAACCTGAAGATAAGAATAAACATCCATTACTTATATGGATGGTTGATATGTACTTAAATATATAATATTACAATATGTATTTTACAATATTATTTTTTCTATAAAAAATTGTTGAGACACTTTTGAGAACACATGACACACAGCTACAATGCAGAAATCACACAAAACAAGAAGAAGTTTAAGTCTGAAGTCATTGTTTATGATATTTTAATATAATTTAAAGGATTTTGAGGATTTAAAGGATGTGAACCAAGAACTAACCTTGCCATACCTCACAGCGTCTGTGTGCTATGTTAAGAGCGGCTTTGGGGTAAATGAACATCTTCGGTTGCCTATCGACCATGAATGACCTCAATTTGGTAGCGTCTGTTCCCTTAGTTAGGGCGGCTACAAAATCCCCCGCTAAAAAACGACAGAATTGATACGGAATCATTTCAATCTAGGGTCACTTGCGACTATTTTTTACAATAATCAAGCTGCTCTTAGAGCATTTGCATGTCTGGCTGTAGATTGTAGAATTGTCCTTAGGGACATTATAAAACTATTTACCATTACACTGTAATGGGTGTCGGAGCACTGTTATAAGCATGGTAATAAGATTGCGGTCGAATCTACACATAGATGACAAAAAAAGGATGATGTAATTACCCATCCGTTACTATTGTAGGTTTATATTCCAGAGAATCAGTGACATCATCAATTAGTCCTAGAAAAGTGGAATGGATTGTCCAATATTAAAAACCTTCCAACACTGGGAGCTACCAAGATACTTATAGGGCTAGTTAGACGCAGCCTAAGATACTGATAGGGATTGTAATGAAGCATTGCTCAATTAGAGCTTTTGTCAGGAAGTAGGACAGTACTATACCAGACTATTGCAGGCTATGCCAAGATGCAAAAGATCTAGAGACAATTGAGCTAATAATTTGCCACTTTCCTAGAATACAGAAACTCAATTTGAAATAGTTGGCTAATAGGTAACATGACGAGCTCAGTCATTTCTTTAACTGGGTGTTCTAGGGATACTGAGAGTCTTTCATATTTCATTCTTTAAAGAATCGACTTAGTATAAGCCCTTGAAAATCGAACTGTTTTCATTATTCTCGTCACTTTGTTTATCTAGCTTTAAAACATCATTTCTATAAAAGGAACCACAATAGATCCTATAGTCTGGAAGTGGAGTGGCAATTTCTTATGATACATATGCCTCCTTAACCTTTAACTAAAGTAGCGTTATTGCTGTAACTGTGTCGCTGATGTTGACACTCCCAACAAGCAGAGAAAATTTATGCAAAACTGTTATCTAATAATGTAGATGAAAGCATCTATGAAGCCGCTATTTCCAGCAGAATCAACAAGGCTTGCAGACGTAGAAGATCCAAAATATACCAACGTTACAAGATCCCCCATCTGATATCAGCAAGCATCTCTGAAGTCGCAGTTTCCAGCAGAATCAAAAACGCTTACAGACGTATAAGATCCAAAATATACCAACGTTACAAAATCCGCCATCTGATATCAGCAGATTGAGTTAAGTTTCTTGAGTGCTTTAACTGAGCACCAGCCTTGACTGCCTTAGCTCATGGTGGTCATTATCGAAAACAGGTAGAACTAGAGACCACAACTAACAATCACCTCCTCTTGTGAATTGACTAACACCGGACTATATATGTATGTGCAAACACTATGCCAAGAGCTATCTAGTAGAGCTATCTAACCACTGGCTATTGCATTTCCTTTGTAGAATGCCCGGCTATCTTCAGATCGTATCTGAAACCTTCCTCGACAATATATTCTGTCATTTTACGATATCGGTTATTTTGCTAACAACACCTACAAACGTTTTAAGTAGATCGAGGTACTCTCCATTAATAAGCTACGACACACATAGGTCATACAGTGCGGTAAATTAGGGACCAAATTCGCTATTGGCCACTTGGTTATGAATTTAATAATGTATAAGCATAAAAAATAAACATAAGTTTTCAATTTTTTAAAATTTTACTTAAAAAAACACGTCGAAAAGGATCTTTAAACGAAACACTTGCAGTAAGTTTCTATATTAGTTAAAATATTCATATTCATTTACAATACTTTTTGCAAAAATTCCAATAACATTCAAAAAAATACAAAAAAGGTTCACCAAACTTACCTTATAAACATCGCCATAAGTGCCGGAACCAATTTTCTGTATAAGCTCATATTCATCTTGTGGATTACGACGTGATATATCCGAACTCAAAAGATTTGCATTGTGATGAGCCATTTTTCTTTAGATTTTGTCAGGATAGAAGTTTAAAGATGTTAACAGGATGAAAATAATTATGTGGAAGATGTCGAAACGACGTTTAATTTTAAGTTTCTTTTTGTTTTCTATTGGTTTAAATTTTAGCCGAACGATGGAACACAATACACAAACTGTTTTTTTTAGAATTTTTAATTGTTTATAGTTAAATGTTGCTGTTGTTGTTATTATGGTTTTAGTTTAAGGGTAAACACTTTCACAGACAACAATTAGACAGGGAACTGTTTGAAGAAAAAGAGTTTTTTTTATTAAAAAGAAAAGATTTTTGAACAAAAAATTACTTGTGTCATTTGGTCGGAGAAGTTAATAATGGCAAATGCTAAAGATTTTCTTAAAAAGTGGAATATTGGGAAAAGTGAACAACAGCTGAACTAGAACTGAACTAGAAATAAACTAGAACTGCACTACAATTAAACTAGAAATGATATAGAACTGAACTAGAACTGAACAAGAACTGAACTAGAACTGAACTAGAACTGAACTAGAACTGAACTAGAACTGAACTAGAACTGAACTAGAACTGAACTAGAAACTGAACTAGAACTGAACTAGAACTGAACTAGAACTGAACTAGAACTGAACTACAACTGAACTAGAACTGAACTAGAACTGAACTAGAACTGAACTAGAACTGAACTAGAACTGAACTAGAACTGAACTAGAACTGAACTAGAACTGACTAGAACTGACAAGAACTGAACTAGAACTGAACTAGAACTGAACTAGAACTGAACTAGAACTGAACTAGAACTGAACTAGAACTGAACTAGAACTGAATTAGAACTGAACTAGAACTGAACTAGAACTGAACTAGAACTGAACTAACTGAACTAGAACTGAACTAGAACTGAACTAGAACTGAACTAGAACTGAACTAGAACTGAACTAGAACTGAACTAGAACTGAACTAGAACTGAACTAGAACTGAACTAGAACTGAACTAGAACTGAACTAGAACTGAACTAGAACTGAACTAGAACTGAACTAGAACTGAACTAGAACTGAACTAGAACTGAACTAGAACTGAACTAGAACTGAACTAGAACTGAACTAGAACTGAACTAGAACTGAACTAGAACTGAACTAGAACTGAACTAGAACTGAACTAGAACTGAACTAGAACTGAACTAGAACTGAACTAGAACTGAACTAGAACTGAACTAGAACTGAACTAGAACTGAACTAGAACTGAACTAGAACTGAACTAGAACTGAACTAGAACTGAACTAGAACTGAACTAGAACTGAACTAGACTGAACTAGAACTGAACTAGAACTGAACTAGAACTGAACTAGAACTGAACTAGAACTGAACTAGAACTGAACTAGAACTGAACTAGAACTGAACTAGAACTGAACTAGAACTGACTGAACTAGAACTGAACTAGAACTGAACTAGAACTGAACTAGAACTGAACTAGAACTGAACTAGAACTGAACTAGAACTGAACTAGAACTGAACTAGAACTGAACTAGAACTGAACTAGAACTGAACAAGAACTGAACTATAACTAATACTGAACCAAAATTGTATTCTCTAACAAACCTGTGGCATGGCCGGAGACTTTAATAACATTTCCAAGAGTGTTCCATAAGAATTCAGAAAACAATTCTTTTTGGGTTTTTAATTTAAACAAAGTTATATAAAATCTGCTTTTAAAAAAAAAGACACATCTGCCGATTGGCTGCAGAAGATAATAACAACAATCGCCTTAGATTTTCTTTGAAGAAAAAGAGGTTTGCCACAATGACAACAATTTTGTTTATAATCTGAACAGATTCTTTGAGGGGTTTGATATTTCTTAAAAAGATTTAATAGTTTTTGTTTTCACAAGAAAGACTGGAAGAAAGTTTTAACCAAAAAGATGCAACTGCCGTCTGACCGGAGAAGTTTTGCTTAAGAATTGGCAAAAAAGCTTCTGTTTAGCTTATAATTTACATTGAGAAACAGATAGACTTGATAATACTTGAAAGGATTTATGGGAACACAATATAGGACGGAGATAGGAGTGGTTTAGGAAAAGGTTTCTTTTTTAATGTTTAAATTCCACTATTTCACTGATAAACTTAATATTTCTTGAAAGGCTATAATGTACTTGGAACACATTTGGGGGATTAGTTTAAAAAACAGCTGTAGGTTAAGTAATTATTCAAAGTTTTTGTTATTGTTTCAATACAAGATTTAATTTGTTTTTGTTGGTTTTTTACATAATTTTTTATTTGCTGATAAAAAAAAAATTGCATAATTTCTTTTTGTTGTAGTTGTGCTATATTCTTATTTTTATAGATTTTTGTAAATTTTATTTATTTATTTAAAGAATATTTTTTATAATTTTTGTTATTATTTAACAATTTATTTTGTTAATTTGTCAAGATTTTTACGACACTTTGTTGTTTTTTTTTCACTTAAATGCTTTTGACATTTTGTTTTTTCTCTTGTTTTTGTTTTTTGCTTGCTGTCAGACAAGTGGTTGCAAATTGTTGTTATTTTTGTTTTTAATTAGTTAAATCATGTTAGTTGTTGTTTTATTTATATTTTTTTTCTAAGGCGTCGTCATTTTTTTGTTGTTTTTTTCACACACATTAAAAAAGAAGAAGACAATTTTAATTTTATTTTTATTTTATTTATTTTTTATACTTTTGGCTTTTTTTAATTAAAACAGGCAAAACAAGTGGCCACAATTTCTTGTTATTATTGTTGTTGTTTTTCTCTTTTATTAAAGTTGTTTTTTTAGACTTTCGTTCTTTGTAAAGAAATTTTTTTGCTTTTTCTCTCATTTACCTTGACACTTCTCTTTGAAAACAAAAAATTTGCCAGAATTGAAAAAATTGTGATTTTTAAATAAATTTTTATTAAATAAATAAATTTAATTAAAGTAGTTGTTGTTTTTTTTCTCCAAAAAAGGGGGTTAAAGCTGGGGCGTGCGTGTCTAAACAACTAAACAAAGTGGACACGCCAACCCAACAAAAACACAGTTCACACACACTCTCGCAACTTAATAATTGAAAATTTTTTAAATTAACCATAATCTGTTAAATTTTTGCCCAATTTTTGTTAAAATTTATTTATTAACTTTAATTTTTTGTAAATTTTCTTTAAATACTTTTTTTTACAGCCACAGACGACACATAACGTACCACCGAATAACTCGCCTTCTTAGCCACAAAAACAACACAAACAAAAAAAAAAAACAAGGGCGACGTCAACTTTAACAAAAAAACTTATAATATTGAAAAACTTCTTTCTTTCTCATCACTGCCACTTACTTTAACTTCTTTTACACAAAAAAATGCTTTAATTTTTAGCTTTACACTGTGAAAAAAACATTTTCCAGCTTTACGTTTTGTTTTAATTTGTATTAATTCTTTTGCTTTGCATTTTATTCGCTTTAATTTTTAATAAAAACACAAAATTTCACTCTACTACGTTTTTTTATTAATAAAAAATCAACTTTTTTTCTTTACTTCTAAAATACAATTTTTCTTTTTTGTTGTCTGTCGTCGTCGTCGTGCGAAACCCAGTACGCGAACGTCTCGAATTTTTGACAGCAAATGAGAAACAAGAATTTCCCTTGCTGGCACCAAAGCTAAAAAAGGTAGTAGAATAATTATAGTACTTTTACAAACTTCTTAAAATAATTTTTAAATTAGTACCAAAAATTCACAAAATATTTTTTGCAATTTAATTATAATTCACAATAATTCTTATTGTCTTTTTAATTTTTCTAAACAATAAGAAAATTTATAAATTATTTGTTAATACTTTTATATACAACTCTAAAACATAAACATTTGTTTAGTATGTTCAGTGTTTGCTTGTTTTTCTTATTCACCATTCGTAACTATTGTCATTGCGGTGTAGTCTCGCCTGCATATTAACAATTTCAAACAGCTGTTAATTTCCTGGTTGCTGTCTCAGCTAAAATACTGTAAACAAACAGCATTGCCAGAGTAAGATTAGAAAACTTATTAATTTGTCTATACTAATGAATATTATTCTTTTTAAACATAATTTTAACAAAAATACTTTCACTTCTTGTTAAAGTTATTAAAAATTAAGCAAACATTTCTTAAACTAAACCACAACTGAACGAAAACTGCACTGAACTAGAACAGAACTTGAACTGAACTAATATAGAACTAGAAGTAAACTTAAACTGGACTGAAATTGAACAAAAACTGAACTAGAACAGAACTAGAACGGAACTAATATAGAAATAGAACAGAACTTGAACTAAACTAATATATGTAGATCTAAAAGTAAACTTTAACAGAACTAGAACAGAACTTGAACAGAACTAGAACAGAACTAGAACAAAACTAGAACAGAACTAGAACAGAACGGAACTAGCACAGAACTAGAACAGAACTAGAACAGAACTAGAACACAACTAGAACACAACTAGAACAGAAATTAGAACAGAACTAGAACAGAACTAGACAGAACTAGAACAGAACTACAACAGAACTAGAACCAGAACTAGAACAGAACTAGAACAGAACTAGAACAAACTAGAACAGAACTAGAATACAGCTAAACACAACTAGAACACAACTAGAACACAACTAGAACACAACTAAAACATAACCAGAACAGAACTAGAACAGAACTAGAACTAACTAGAACATAACTAGAACATAACTAAAACAGAACTAGAACAGAACTAGAACAGAACTAGAACTGACTAGAACAGAACTAGAACAGAACTAGAACAGAACTAGAACAGAACTAGAAAACAGAACTAAAAACAGAACTAGAAAAGAACTAGAACAGAACTAGAACAACTAAACAGAACTAGAACAGAACTAGAACAGAACTAGAACAGAACTAGAACAGAACTAGAACAGAACTAGAACAGAACTAGAACAGAACTAGAACAGAACTAGAACAGAACTAGAACAGAACTAGAACAGAACTAGAACAGAACTAGAACAGAACTAGAACAGAACTAGAACAGAACTAGAACAGAACTAGAACAGAACTAGAACAGAACTAGAACAGAACTAGAACAGAACTAGAACAGAACTAGAACAGAACTAGAACAGAACTAGAACAGAACTAGAACAGAACTAGAACAGACTAGAACACAACTAGAACAGAACAGAACTAGAACTACAACTAGAACACAACTAGAACAGAACAGAACTAGAACAACTAGAACAGAACTAGAACAGAACTAGAACAGAACTAGAACAGAACTAGAACAGAACTAGAACAGAACTAGAACAGAACTAGAACAGAACTAGAACAGAACTAGAACAGAACTAGAACAGAACTAGAACAGAACTAGAACAGAACTAGAACAGAACTAGAACAGAACTAGAACAGAACTAGAACAGAACTAGAACAGAACTAGAACAGAACTAGAACTAGAACTAGAACAGAACTAGAACTAGAACAGACTAGAACTAGAACTGAACTAGAACAGAACTAGAACTGAACTAGAACAGAACTAGAACAGAACTAGAACAGAACTAGAACTGAACTAGAACAGAACTAGAACAGAACTAGAACTGAACTAGAACAGAACTAGAACTGAAGTAGAACAGAACTAGAATAGAACTAGAACAGAACTAGAACAGAACTAGAACAGAACTAGAACAGAACTAGAACAGAACTAGAACAGAACAGAACAGAACAGAACAGAACAGAACTAGAACAGAACTAGAACTAGAACAGAACTAGAACAGAACTAGAACAGAACTAGAACAGAACTAGAACAGAACTAGAACAGAACTAGAACAGAACTAGAACAGAACTAGAACAGAACTAGAACAGAAGTAGAACAGAACTAGAACAGAACTAGAACAGAACAGAACTAAAACAGAACTAGAACAGAACTAGAACAGCACTAGAGCAGAACTAGAACAGAACTAGAACAGAACTAAAACTGTGCTAAAACTGAATTAAGAACTGAACTATAACAGTAGAGGAGCTAAACTAGAACTGAACTAAACATGATCTTCTTTGGAAAATTTGTTAAATCATGAGTTTGGGACACAATTTTCTATTAAAAAATTTGTCATGAACCTGACTCCTTACAAAATCATTTTCAAAATAAAATTTCAAAATTTTGTTTGTTGTTTATCGTAAACCACCATTTTTATTAAATATTATTTTTAACTTTTTTTTATTCTTTTTTTAATTTCATTTTTTTGATTTATTTCATTCTTAGCAAAAAGAAAACTAATTAACAAATTATTATTTTTTGTTTGTTTTTGTTTTATCGTTAACATTTTTCATATAAATTTGTTATTACTAAATTTTCGCAACTTTTACCAAGAATTATAAAGAATAAAATGAGATTATAAAATATTTAAGTTATTTACAGTTAAAAAAAAATAATAATCACAAATTACAAGACAGAAAAATATTATTAAAAATATAATTAAAATTACAAATAATAAAAAATATATATTGCCACTTTTATATGTTATTTAATAATAAGGAAGATTAAGAGAAAAATGATTATTGGTTAAATAACAAAAATTATGAATTAATTATACAAAAGGATTCAATAGACAACATTTAAACATAAATATAGTTTAATTTTAGTTTTTTTTTATTAATAATTTATTGTAGATTTTAAAATTCGTTAAGAAAATTATGTAGTTTATTATTATTATTCTTATTATTGGTTCCATGTGCGATTATTTGTTGTTCGAAATGATGCCAAATTTCTGAATATAATTCCTGCTAAAAGGCGAATTGCTTTTGCGTTGTTTCTTCTCCTCTTTGCTGCGGTGTTAGGGAAATAAGGCATCATTTTAAGAGGCTTTTGTTTACATTTATTAATTTATTGTTTATTTACTTAAAAAAGTAATAGAGAGAACTTTTATTGTTTTTTTTTTTTTTTCATTTATTCGTTAGTTTTTATATTAAAATTATTTTTATTAATTATATTTAAATAATTTGTTTATTTTAATTTGTTCATAATTTTCTAATGCTTCTATCTGCTGCTGCTGAATTAAGTTTTGTTCTGTAAAGAGATTGAAATATAATAATTAGTATTCTATTAAAATAATTAAAATAATTGAATAAAATTTAAAAAGTAACGAAAATTAATCAGCCCAAGAAATAATTAAAAAAATATTAAAAAATAAAAAATTTAATAAACAACTTAAAGCAATTACATGCAGTTCTGCGTTATCGAAGAATAAAGAAATCGAAATTTTTTAAGAAAATGATCAGAATATCTTAACAAGAAGAATAAAACATTTTAACAAATATTTTAAATATTATTGAAGCTTTAAACATTTTAAGCGTTAAAACATAATCCGGATCAAAGAAACTCACAGAAAATTTTGTATAAAAATGCAATTTTTGAAATATTTTACAAAGTTAAGAAGATGGAGAATTAGAACAGATTCCAAACGACTGACAGACATACTTTTACCGAAAGAAATAATTTTCTTTAGAAGAGAGTGTCTTTACAGGTAACTCACTTCCGCAGAAATCTGAACTAGAACTGAACTAGAACGGAACTAGAACAGAACTAGAACAGAACTAGAACATAACTAGAACATAACTAGAACAGAACTAGAACATAACTAGAACTGAACTAGAACGGAACTAGAACAGAACTAGAACAGAACTAGAACATAACTAGAACATAACTAGAACAGAACTAGAACATAACTAGAACAGAACTAGAACATAACTAGAACAAAACTAGAACTGAACTAGAACGGAACTAGAACAGAACTAGAACAGAACTAGAACATAACTAGAACATAACTAGAACAGAACTAGAACAGAACTAGAACTGAACTAGAACTGAACTAGAACTGAACTAGAACAGAACTAGAACAGAACTAGAACAGAACTAGAACAGAACTAGAACAGAACTAGAACAGAACTAGACTAGAACAGAACTAGAACAGAACTAGAACAGAACTAGAACAGAACTAGAACAGAACTAGAACAGAACAGAACAGAACAGAACAGAACAGAACTAGAACTGAACTAGAACTAGAACTGAACTAGAACTGAACTAGAACTGAACTCGAACTGAACTAGAACTGAACTAGAACTGAACTAGAACGGAACTAGAACGGAACTAGAACTGAACTAGAACTGAACTAGAACTAGAACTGAACTAGAACTAAACTAGAACTGAACTAGAACTGAACTAGAACTGAACTAGAACTGAACTAGAACTGAATTAGAACTGAACTAGAACTGAACTAGAACTCAACTAGAACTGAACTAGAAAATGTTTGCTATAGACAACTCTTTTCCGAAATGAGTTTTCTATAGACAAATCTCTCTCAATGAAAGTTTTCTGTAGCCAAGTCGTTTGCGAAGAGTTTAACAATTGATTTGATTGGGATTAAAGGCAAAATTCAAACATGCTGTTATTTTGGATTAAATTTCAAAACAAATCACAAGAAAAACAATAAACTTTCTTTTATGAACGACATGCAAATAACGAATTCTTCTTACCCAGCTTTTCGACAAAAATTCTTCTATACGACGACGTATTTAACAAACAAAAAACTTTTTAAATGGACGTTTTGGGGGATTTCTTAAGACATAATAGATTTTTAAGTAAAAATTTATTTTAAAGATTTAAAATTGATTTAGTTTTTGGTAGATTTGTGGCTAAAGAATTTTAAAAGAAATACAAAATTCGAATTTATACTAAACTTTGAAGATCCTGTTGTAAAAAGGGGTTTTGAGAAGGCATTTAAAGAAAATTTGTATATAAAAGACAAATAGAAAAAAAGGAAGAGAAATGGGTAATAAAGGTAGAGATTTAATAACTAGTTTAATTTATTATGAAAAAAGCTTTAAGTAATAAAAAAGCTTTTTACAAATTTAGCTTAAAGCAATATTTGAAATAATTTTAAGGTTTAAATTAAACTTTTAGAGAAAAAAAGCTGCCTTTAGGGCATTTTGAATAAAAGCTTTTTGGATATTTAAGCATTACTGTAAATATTGGACTTTTTATATGAAATATAAATAACTTTTAACATTTATATTAAAATTAAACAAATTATATTTGTTTTAAGTGAAAACTTGTAAAAAGCTTTTTAAAAAAAGAAAGTTTTTTTTTTTTTTTCAAAATTAAAAAAAATTAAAGGATTTATGCACTATTATAAGAAATTAGAGTCATAATATTGAAAATGTAATTTAATAATAAAAAGCTTTTACATGACAATAGATAAAGCTTAAAAGAATAAAAATTAGGAAATTTATATTAAAATAAAAACATTTGAAAACAAAAACTTTTGAAATAAAAATTTTAGCAAGAACTTTTAAAAAGCTTTAAAAAACTAGGTGCTTTTACTGAGCTTTAAAGTTATACAAATTATAGGCAATATACATTTTATAAAAAAAGCTTTTTTATGAATTTTTTTATTTCTTTTAATAATTCCCAAATCTAAGCAAATCAAATCAAAACTAATATGTTTTTATACTCAAAAGTATTAGAAGCATTTCTATATATTTTAAACAATTACATAATTTTTTCTTTACAATATTTTAAATTAACTGGTTTTTCTACGAAAAGCTTTTATATCAAAAGCTTTCCTTTTAATAATTAAACTTAAATAAAGATTTTTGGTTTTATTGTTTGTTTAAGAAAATAAATGTAAAATGAATAATAATTAAAATTACGATTATTTAGCTAAATTAACTAAATGTAAATCTTGTTCTGTGAGTACCGGAAATGAGGCCCTTTTTATTTAATACCATTAAATTTGTTTGTTTAAATATAATAAAAAAAGAAATAAAAGAAAAGTTTAAAAATTAAAATAATTAAATTAGTTCATAATTATAATGAGTAAATAAAAAAGTGTTAGTAAAGATTTCTAAAAAGACAATAAAATAGTCAAAGAACTGACCTCTAACTGAACTACAATAGAGCTAGAACAGAACTACAACTGAAGTAGAACTGAACTAGAACTGAACTAGAACTGAACTAGAACTGAACTAGAACTGAACTAGAACTGAACTAGAACTGAACTAGAACTGAACAAGAACTGAACTAGAACTGAACTAGAACTGAACTAGAACTGAACTAGAACTGAACTAGAACTGAACTAGAACTGAACTAGAACTGAACTAGAACTGAACTAGAACTAGAACTGAACTAGAACTGAACTAGAACTGAACTAGAACTGAACTAGAACTGAACTAGAACTGAATTAGAACTGAATTAGAACTGAACTAGAACTGAACTAGAACTGAACTAGAACTGAACTAGAACTGAACTAGAACTGAACTAGAACTGAACTAGAACTGAACTAGAACTGAACTAGAACTGAACTAGAGCTGAACTAGAACTGAACTAGAACTGAACTAGAACTGAACTAGAACTGAACTAGAACTGAACTAGAACTGAACTAGAACTGAACTAGAACTGAACTAGAACTGAACTAGAACTGAACTAGAACTGAACTAGAACTGAACTAGAACTGAACTAGAACTGAACTAGAACTGAACTAGAACTGAACTAGAACTGAACTAGAACTGAACTAGAACTGAACTAGAACTGAACTAGAACTGAACTAGAACTGAACTAGAACTGAACTAGAACTGAACTAGAACTGAACTAGAACTGAACTAGAACTGAACTAGAACTAGAACTGAACTAGAACTGAACTAGAACTGAACTAGAACTGAACTAGAACGAACTAGAACTGAGAACTGAATTAGAACTGAACTAGAACTGAACTAGAACTGAACTAGAACTGAACTAGAACTGAACTAGAACTGAACTAGAACTGAACTAGAACTGAACTAGAACTGAACTAGAACTGAACTAGAACTGAACTAGAACTGAACTAGAACTGAACTAGAACTGAACTAGAACTGAACTAGAACTGAACTAGAACTAGAACTGAACTAGAACTGAACTAGAACTGAACTAGAACTGAATTAGAACTGAATTAGAACTGAACTAGAACTGAATAGAACTGAACTAGAACTGAACTAGAACTGAACTAGAACTGAACTAGAACTGAACTAGAACTGAACTAGAACTGAACTAGAACTGAACTAGAACTGAACTAGAACTGAACTAGAACTGAACTAGAACTGAACTAGAACTGAACTAGAACTGAACTAGAGCTGAACTAGAACTGAACTAGAACTGAACTAGAACTGAACTAGAACTGAACTAGAACTGAACTAGAACTGAACTAGAACTGAACTAGAACTGAACTAGAACTGAACTAGAACTGAACTAGAACTGAACTAGAACTGAACTAGAACTGAACTAGAACTGAACTAGAACTGAACTAGAACTGAACTAGAACTGAACTAGAACTGAACTAGAACTGAACTAGAACTGAACTAGAACTGAACTAGAACTGAACTAGAACTGAACTAGAACTGAACTAGAACTGAACTAGAACTGAACTAGAACTGAACTAGATGAACTAGAACTGACTAGAACTGAACTAGAACTGAACTAGAACTGAACTAGAACTGAACTAGAACTGAACTAGAACTGAACTAGAACTGAACTAGAACTGAACTAGAACTGAACTAGAACTGAACTACTAGAACTGAACTAGAACTGAACTAGAACTGAACTAGAACTGAACTAGAACTGAACTAGAACTGAACTAGAACTGAACTAGAACTGAACTAGAACTGAACAGAACTGAACTAGAACTGAACTAGAACTGAACTAGAACTGAACTAGAACTGAACTAGAACTGAACTAGAACTGAACTAGAACTGAACTAGAACTGAACTAGAACTGAACTAGAACTGAACTAGAACTGAACTAGAACTGAACTAGAACTGAACTAGAACTGACTAAACTAGAACTGAACTAGAACTGAACTAGAACTGAACTAGAACTGAACTAGAACTGAACTAGAACTGAACTAGAACTGAACTAGAACTGAACTAGAACTGAACTAGAACTGAACTAGAACTGAACTAGAACTGAACTAGAACTGAACTAGAACTGAACTAGAACTGAACTAGAACTGAACTAGAACTGAACTAGAACTGAACTAGAACTGAACTAGAACTGAACTAGAACTGAACTAGAACTGACTAACTAACTAGAAAAAGAACTGAACTAGAACTGAACTAGAACTGAACTATGAACTGAACTAGAACTGAACTAGAACTGAACTAGAACTGAACTAGAACTGAACTAGAACTAGAACTGAACTACTGAACTAGAACTGAACTAGAACTGAACTAGAACTGAACTAGAAACTAATAAACTAAACTGAACTAAAACTGAACTAGAACTGACTAGAACTGAACTAAACTGAACTAGAACTGAACTAACTGACTAGAACTGAACTACTAGAACTGAACTAGACTAGAACTGAACTAGAACTGAACTAACTGAACTGAACTGAACTAGAACTGAACTAGAACTGTACTAGAACTGACTAGAACTGAACTAGAACTGGACCAGAACTGAACTAGGACCTATTAAAGCTGATCTGAGAGATTTTGAAAAAATTTGTATATCTTTTTCCACAATTTGAATCAGATTCTGAATCAAATTCTTCTGTTTATTGTCCTTTTACATTAGTTTAAAAAGTTCTAAACAATATAGCAAAAAGAACATTAAATACTTACAATTCCATAGAGAGTACAGTTGGATTGGGACATGCTTGTGGTGCACGGACATGACATTGTTTGTGACAAATTAAATGACAGTCACGACCTCATAACCCTGTTTACCGGGTCGTCGAGGTATTGATTTCATACATATAGAACATTGCAAGCCGCTTCTAAAATAATTATTTAACATTTTTTGAAAAATCGATAGTATTTTAAAAACCATTAAATCGGCGTTCACATTATTTAAACAAGTTGTAACAATATATTAATGATCCTAGTCAAATTAAGAGCTTTATAACGTTAAAGCTTTTTTGCGAAATAATGTGAACCCATAGTATTTAAGGCATTCTGAGTTGTAATTAAGCATAACCTTAATAAAAAGTTTTAGTTATAACTACCTTACCCGCTTAAATGCTTGGCAATAAAGGTATGATCATTGTAAATGTGTAATTTTTGTGCCTTTACGACGCCATCTGGGACGTGTGCAATATTCAGAGGAACAATAAAGTGTCTAAAGGAGAAATTAAATTTACTTAGTTATTTTTCGAAATAACGTTAAAAAAATTTTCAGAATTTAATTGTTAAGTAATATAAATAGAGTTTTTCGGAAAGCCAGACATTTCGATGACTCTGCCGTAGAGGAGCTATAGACTAGACTATATAACTAGACTATAGACTAGACTAAATAGACCGACTATAGACTAGACTATAGACTAGACTAGAGACTAGACTAATAGACTAGACTATAGACTAGACTATAAACAGACTTAGACTACTATAGACTAGACTATAGACCTAGACTAGACTACTATCGACTAGACTAGACTAGACGATAGACTAGACTATAGACTAGAGACTATAGACTATAACTACTAGACTAGACAGAAGACTAGACTATAGACAGACTATACTAGACTATAGACTAGATAGACTAGACTATAGACTAGACTATAGACTAGACTATAGACTAGACTATAGACTAGACTATAGACTAGACTATAGACTAGACTATAGACTAGACTATAGACTAGACTATAGACTAGACTATAGACTAGACTATAGACTAGACTATAGACTAGACTATAGACTAGACTATAGACTAGACTATAGACTAGACTATAGACTAGACTATAGACTAGACTATAGACTAGACTATACTAGACTATAGACTAGACTATAGACTAGACTATAGACTAGACTAGACTAGACTATAGACTATAGACTATAGACTAGACTATAGACTAGACTATAGACTAGACTATAGACTAGACTATAGACTAGACTATAGACTAGACTATAGACTAGACTATAGACTAGACTATAGACTAGACTATAGACTAGACTATAGACTAGACTATAGACTAGACTATAGACTAGACTATAGACTAGACTATAGACTAGACTATAGACTAGACTATAGACTAGACTATAGACTAGACTATAGACTAGACTATAGACTAGACTATAGACTAGACTATAGACTAGACTATATAGACTATAGACTAAACGACTGGACTATAGACTAGACTATAGACTAGACTATAGACTAGACTATACAAGACTATAGACTAGACTATAGACTAGACTATAGACTAGACTATAGACTAGACTATAGACTAGACTATAGACTAGACTATAGACTAGACTATAGACTAGACTATAGACTAGACTATAGACTAGACTATAGACTAGACTATAGACTAGACTATAGACTAGACTATAGACTAGACTATAGACTAGACTATAGACTAGACTATAGACTAGACTATAGACTAGACTATAGACTAGACTATAGACTAGACTATAGACTAGACTATAGACTAGACTATAGACTAGACTAGACTATAGACTAGACTATAGACTAGACTATAGACTAGACTATAGACTAGACTATAGACTAGACTATAGACTAGACTATAGACTAGACTATAGACTAGACTATAGACTAGACTATAGACTAGACTATAGACTAGACTATAGACTAGACTATAGACTAGACTATAGACTAGACTATAGACTAGACTATAGACTAGACTATAGACTAGACTATAGACTAGACTATAGACTAGACTATAGACTAGACTATAGACTAGACTATAGACTAGACTATAGACTAGACTATAGACTAGACTATAGACTAGACTATAGACTAGACTATAGACTAGTCTATAGTCTAGTCTATAGTCTAGTCTATAGTCTAGTCTATAGTCTAGTCTAGTCTATAGTCTAGTCTATAGTCTAGTCTATAGTCTAGTCTATAGTCTAGTCTAGTCTATAGTCTAGTCTATAGTCTAGTCTATA